TTAATGTTTTGTGTTATGTATGGATTTTAGTTTTTATTGATTTTTAATGAGTTGAATGTAAAATATAGGAAAAAAAGGTATATTCACTGGATTTTATTTTCATGTTCCATCAGCGAAAATAAATTCCGAGCAAAAGTAAAATACATTATAATAATCTACTTACCCTGGCAACGTCCTCCAAGAAGGAGAATTTAAAAGTCATGTCAAGTTTAATATCATCATTTTCTAAAATATCCATGAGTGAACCTTTGGGACAGTACTCTGTTACGTAATATAACATTTCATTGTTTCTGGAATCTGGCGGACATATACCAATGAAGCGGTTCAAATTATCATGAGTTATGGATCGCATCTGGAAGTAATATATAATAATTACTATATAAAAATATGGCATCAAAATATTGGCAGCAACAAACAATCATGCATTTCTATTTTGTTTGAAGTTTGGTGGTTGTTACACAGCGTAGTGTTCGATTGGGACGTGTTAAATAGATTGTTTGATTACATGTAATTCAAACACACGCTGCGCGACAACCACTGTGCTTTTATATTACATGATAAATCATACATACTCTATTGTTTTTTATCAATACATAATATAAAATTAATATAAAATAATATAAACTACTCAAGATAACTATGAGATAGTTGTATAATAATTATAAACAAAATATGATATATGTACACAACATTTGTATTACGCAAGAAAATAAATAATTTATATTTTGAAAATTCGTAAAACATTTCAGTGAAAAATTATTCAATTAATACAAAAGAAATCTTCATTCTTAAATATGTATTGTTGTTTAACATAAAATGCCACATTATTTTGTAAATATAAACAAAAATGTTGAATTTTTGGTATGTGCTAAAGACATTCATATCAATTATTTGACTGTGTTTATTTTTTATTGACAACATTTAAATTTGTACTTAAAACTTGTCAGGTTATTTTTATATTTATTTTGTAATAATTTATTTTATAGTGTGTTAACGATGTCCTATAAGGTTCTTCAATCTTGAAGATAAAAACACTCCTAATTACAATGGATAATTTATTCATACTTTATTATCAATAAGGCTTATTTGCTTGCTTACAGAGTCAGAAATGAATATAGATGTCATATAAACCTGACTGTCAAGGAAACAATAATTTATGTTCACTTAACCTTTCACCACCAGATCTTCTTGCCCAAAACTTTCTGCACTTTTTTTCTTATATTCTTCAATATTTCTGGAAATTAATGCTAATTACAGCATACAAAATTTGAGTCAAATTTCATTTTCTACTCCAAAAATTTGGCTATATTGTCCCAATGTTCTGAAGGAAAGTGCTATAAATGGGACTACTTTGTGATGAAAAGAGAAAACTGGTGGTGAAAAGATTAACATTCAAGGCCATAACATACACAACATGTTCTGATTGAGGACTGATCAGATAAACATTTTAATTGTTGATGTAAACACATTTCATTCTGTGTGGAAACAAATATACTGCATACTATCACAACTTGACATGTCATACATGCGATGTAATACTTCACTAAACAGATGATAAATATATCATTAGAAGATGAATTTCACTTCAATATATCTTGTCCCATTTATAATCAGCAAAGACAATGGCTATATGAATTAAGAAGCTTTATATTTCATTCCTGGTTTTATGAATCAAGACGAGAAAACTACATTTATTTTGATAGTAATATGACATAACCGAAAAAGCCAAAATTATTAAATGCAAATTCTCTGCAAGAAGGCAACAAAGTCATATCGGATTCTGCCGTAAATTCGCCCTGGGTCGTTAAACATCAGTTTAGGTTTTAAAAAAAATAAAATGGGACCAAGAAATCACTCAGGATGATTTTTTGGCAGTTTTTTAAGGTGTTATTTTAATCTTTCCTGATGTCTAAAAGTTTTACCGTAGTCAATGACGCCTATTCAATAGTATGATGTTTATTGCCACTAGCGAGAATGGGTAAGCTTTGTTTTGACAATGAGCTGTTATCACTGTAAACAATGTTAAATTATTCTTCAAATGCCCAGTTTATCTTTTGAAAACAACTATTTTTTTTTATTTAAAAACAAATCATGTTGCTTTCTCATCAAAATCCAAGCTAAAAGATCGTACAACAACATCGGCAAAACTCTTCCGTGCTGCTTCTTCAATAACATTAACAATTTAAATGAGCTATGGTAATTTGTCACATTGACATCATCGGCAAAATATGGCAGATATTTATTTCCACAGCATCGAGCGTTTAAAATGCAATGAAATAAGTTGAAATTTATTTTGCATTTCATAACCATTCAAAAAATTAATTTTTTGTACGTTATTGTAATCTCTTCTAGGTAATAATCAACAATTCTGAAACGCAGCATGACCAGATTGCGCTACTGTGACATTTACTAAGCAGTGCAGTTGTATTCATTTTATTTGAAACTTCTTTTACAATACTTTTTTTACTAATAAAATAAAAGTTATTGTTTTTGGCACACAGGGTTCGTTAATGTGATTTTTTGGAGAAAGATACGCTGGGTGACATTGTTATGAAATTTTAGGCGATCTACTTTTTAATCCAGCAAGAAAAAAAATGTATAAAATTTTAGATTAGCTTCTGCAATAGTTTTTTTCGTTTTGGGTGGTCCAACTGCCGGCGTTGAAAGTCGGCGTAGGTAAGTCCCCAAAAAATATTTGCTGATCATCTTTTGAAATTTTGAACCCCAAATAAGGGCCCATCAGCCGTGAAATCCGGATGGGCGAATTTACGGCAGAATCCGGTAGTATAGAGAGAAGGTTGTTTTTTTTCTTTTTAAAATTATATTTGACTTTTTGCTTGTTTGTTTTGTTACCCTTATTTCATTCTCGTTCTTGTAATTTAGGTAACCTTACTGCAGAGGCAGTGTTGTGATTAATAAATGAGATTACCTTGGTCAACTCTTTCTTCATAAAAGTTGTGAGATGGAAGTTTTTCATAAGGATTCTTTTCACAGCAACAGTCTGGGCTTTATATATTGCTACTGCAAAGTCTGATTCACCTCGGAATCCCCGCTCTAATCCTGGTAAAGAACTTATTGCAGAAGGATGGCTGACATTACGATTCAGTCTAAATTTGGAGATTCGACTCTGAAGCTGGTGATAAAATATAAACAGCATTAAAATGCAAAGACAATGGCTATAAGACAAATACTGAACGAAGCATATACATTGTGAACAATGCCATCTGGTATTTTTTATAGTTGATCTCTTCTATCGACAATTTTACTATAACAAGACAAAGAAAATTAATGACAGCATAACCCTCAATCCGTGTTTTATGGTACTTTTGTCACTGTGGCTAAGATCAATCATACGCTATCATCAATAAATATCATTTTATTACCATTGGTAAATATCAATAAATACTGGACATGTAGGAAGTGATTACAAATATCCACTTAAAAATATAACATATTATAAATTTGTTTTATAGTTATCTAAGTATTAATTATGACTAACAATATTAGTAGTATTATCTAAGGGCTTGAACTACAGTATTCTGAGAGCACCCAATTTCATGATTTCTAAAAATGCCTTAAATTGTAAAACAAACATTGAAGGCATCAAGGCATTAAGGTGGGGCATTTACACTTTTCAGTGGAACATCTATGTATTCAAGTGGGACATCTAGATATTTAGGTGGGACATCTAGTCATTACGATAGGGTATCTAGTCATTGAGATGGGACATCCAGGCATTGAGATGGGACATATAGGCATGCAGGGGGTAGGCATATAGGCATTGAGATGAGACATCTAGGCATGCAGGGGGTAGGCATCTAGTCATTGAGATGGGACATCTAGGCATGCAGGGGGTAGGCATCTAGGCATTGAGATGGGACATCTAGGCATGCAGGGGGTAGGCATCTAGGCATTGAGATGGGACATCTAGGCATGCAGGGGGTAGGCATCTAGTCATTGAGATGGGACATCTAGGCATGCAGGGGGTAGGCATCTAGGCATTGAGATGGGACATCTAGGCATGCAGGGGGTAGGCATCTAGGCATTGAGATGGGACATCTAGGCATGCAGGGGTAGGCATCTAGGCATTGAGGTGGGACATCTAGGCATGCAGGGGGTAGGCATCTAGGCATTGAGGTGGGACATCTAGGCATGCAGGGGGTAGGCATCTAGGCATTGAGATGGGACATCTAGGCATGCAGGGGGTAGGCATCTAGGCATTGAGGTGGGACATCTAGGCATGCAGGGGGTAGGCATCTAGGCATTGAGATGGGACAAGGCGTCTTGATACTGTACGAAAGAAAACATCTGCTGGGTTTGGTTGTAGGCATCTAGGCATTGAGGTAGGGGGAATCTAGGCATTGAGGTAGGGAGCATCTAGGCATTTAGGTGGGGCATCTAGACATACAGATAGGGGGCATCTAGGCATTTAGGTGGGGCATCTAGACATGCAGATAGGGGGCATCTAGGCATTTAAGTGGGGCATCTAGACATGCAGATAGGGGGCATCTAGGCATTTAAGTGGGGCATCTAGACATGCAGATAGGGGGCATCTAGGCATTTAAGTGGGGCATCTAGACATGCAGATAGGGGCATCTAGGCATTTAAGTGGGGCATCTAGACATGCAGATAGGGGGCATCTAGGCATTTAAGTGGGGCATCTAGACATGCAGATAGGGGGCATCTAGGCATTTAAGTGGGGCATCTAGACATGCAGA